CGCCATTAAATACAATACCACGCCTCATTAATTTGGAGTTCAAAATATCCAAGACAATTACCAGTTCCTCGTATTCAACCCCCCTTTTTTACGCCTTGTGTCATCCATTTCTCTTTTCCTTTTATTTTTCCTTCAAACATCGATTACGTTTTTTTTCCCTTACACCTCCTTTGTCCATCTTGGAACTTGTCTTTAAAAAAAAACCCACCCTAAAACACAAACAACAAAAAGACATTCTTCACTCTATATCTTCGTGACATTAGGGTGATGTAAAATACCAATCATAATTGTGTCTAAATCTGTATCTATATGTTGGTTACGTAACTAAAATGCCAACTCAGGCTCGAAATCTAGAAATAAATGCACACAGAAGACCAGCAGCAAAAAGCTTAAAGAATGAGGAGTGACATCTGGAGAGAGTGAGAGAGAGAGAGAGAGAGAGAGAGAAAGAGAGAGAGAGAGAGAGAGAGAGAGAGAGAGAGAGAGAGAGAGAGAGAAAGAGAGAGAGAGAGAGAGAGAGAAAGAGAGAGAGAGAGAGAGAGAGAGAGAGAGAGAGAGAGAGAGAGAGAGAGAGATGTTGTATGAGTGTAATAATATGTGTGTATACATATAAAAGAAACCTAGAGGGAAAAAAACCCCCAATAAACAAAAGAGTGAAACTGGTATTTCAAAAGGACAGAGGCAACCAAGTAATTACGACCAATCAACGATTCAAACAACCACTTCTACCTGGCGACGAGCGAGAAGCTCTGCTGGATGGTCTGTGAGGAAAGTACCGTCCACCACGGGCCCGATCGGCACGTCAAAGAAGGAAGAGATCAAGTCCCATTGCTTCGTCACAAGCTCTAGTGGGTCAGCTGACCTGAGACAGTCCATCATCCCGGCGTGGCTTGACGTCGGGCAGGAAACACTCCTCGCCAGCTTTTTGGAGCGGTCCATTGCCAAAACCCTGTCCTGTTGTAATGACGTCGCATAAGATAAGATTATTATTATGATGGAGAAAGATCTTGTCAATGTGTTAGTGTTTAGGCCCTTAATTAGCTGCTTGCATGTATTGTAGGCCTCCCGAGAAGCCGAGGATGTTTCTCAGTGCTCTAGGGTCTGCCTGGGCACGGTAATAATATCACCATCACCTAAACAAAGAAAGCCACAACCACCACTATCACTGCCACCATCAACACAATAAAGACACCCCCACCACACCGTCATCATTTCCTAAACAGTATTCAAAGGGACTCAATCTGGAGTTTTATTTTAAGAGACAGTACATCCACTTTCGTCAAGTGTTTAGGAGAGCCCCCCCCCCCACACACACACACACACACACACACACACACACACACACACACACACACAAATTTTTGCCCCACAACAATCAGACGCTCTGAATATATTCTTCAAAACAATTTCCTCGTCTTATTTCTTCAGCTATCGGCACAGTGTTTTTAAACTATCAAATGGAATCAATAACTCTATTTCGTCCAAAACTGGATATTACACTGTCTGTTAAGATAAAACTCCAACAATACTCAAAGAGCCGAGAGGAGTGGGTTTTTTAGTCATCTGTCAGAGGCGATCTAACGGATTACAAATCTACGGGAGCAGAAGAATCATCATTATCAGTAAGTACCAGATTTGCGGCACACATCGGCTATCACGGTTCTCAATTCATTCCTTTGCAGCTACTTTACCCTGTTCGTTCCCCGTTATTAATTTGTTTAGGTTCTCTAGTAGATTGCACTTGGCCTAGATCTACCCCGGCCTTGCTTACCTTCAATTTTGCAAATTCAAGTCCTTTATGTCCATTCAGGTGTCCCAAAACTGCATTTGTCATTTCATGATTGTTTTTTAACAGTGAGCGTCCCACGCGGGCTTTATCATCCACTACCTCATTTGATTTCTTTTCTTTCCTCGATATTCTCAGCAGCCTCATAAAAACCCACATTTCTTTTGCTTCTATTCTATTTTCACTGTCTTTAGCGATTGTCCAGCAGCAGAAGAATCCTCTGCCGAACCAAATCTCACCTGTACACCCCAGGAGACGGTCGGCGAGCCGCTCATCATAATGGCGTTGTTGATGAGGTGCATGGAGCGAGGGGACAGGAGGTGGTAGCCCACGCTTACGGCTCCTGCACTCTCGCCGAAGATGGTGATCTTGGACGGATCGCCACCCATCAGCTCTGCATTGTCGTGAACCCACTAAGAAAGATAATAACAATAACAATAGTAATAATAATAGTGATGATGATGATGATGATGATGATGATGATGATGATGATGATGATGATGATGATGATGATGATGATGATGATGATGATGATGAGGATGATGATGACGATGATGAGGATGATAATAATAATAATAATAATAATGATAATAATAATAATAATAATAATAATAATAATAATAATAATAATGATAATGATTATGATGATGACTATAATGATGACAATAATGATGACGATAATGATACTAATAATGATAATGATAATTATTGTAATAATAATGATGATGGTATTATTATTACTAATAATAATAATAATAATAATAATAATAATAATAATAATAATAATAATTATAATAATAATTCATACA